ACACACACACACTACACACACACACACACACACACATACACACACATACACACACATACACACATACATAGACACACACACACACATATATATATATTATATGATGTGTTATATATATATACATATATAAATATATATATAATGTATATAGTGTGTGTAAGGGAACTAGGTAACGTAAAGGCATACGACAATCTTTAAATATTACCCTAAAATGATTTCGCGTCATTGGCCTTTATTTGCCGTACTGAACTTTACTGTATTTTCTCAGGCTGAACCAGTCGCTGCAGATGATGCTATGGATGCGCAATGGTAAGTTTATCATTTGTGAACTGTGTACATTTCCTGATGGTATTGTTGCAATCAATTGAAATGGGTTTCTGCAAGATAGCCCGCACAATTTAATGCCTTCAAATATATTTTGAAGTTGAATCAAATACGAGAAGGAGGTGAGTATCGAAGCACCCTTATACAGGACATTACAGCTCGTATATATCGAAATCAGCGTACAGCCAGTAAGGACCAATACCATACTTATTAGCGTATGAAATGACCTTTCTTGCTGTCCTATAGGGTACGATGCGATGACATCGAGTCTAAAAGTCCATTGGTGCCATTGATCAAAGGAACGTTACAAAAGGCTATAAAGTGTGCAGCTTTTGATATTGGAAAGCAATAAAGCAGGAAAAGCATCCTATCATATGTTTGATTGATTTTTGGACTTAAATTTTGTATCATACGATAAGGAGAAGGAACACAGAACTACGCAAAACAATATTTTCATCCTACTTGAGCATTATAGCTTGAGAATAAATGCTTCAAAAAGCGACTATTGTAGTGTAAGCAATATTCGTCCACTTCGAATTTAGAGGGAGATACTTCACCACATAAAAAAATAAACAAATCTTACACACTCAACGTATTCTATTTAAGAGCCCTCTCTGTTGCACAAAATACGTGATGCGCACACGAAGACTACACCCTTGGAAATATTCCATACTCTCCGAGTATATAAAACATCGTTAGCTATCACCAATTCACCACACAGGCACACAATCAACCACGCAAATATATACTCGGGAAGTCTGAACTTCAGAACTCGAGTCTCGCAGGCACTGGCTTTAATTTCCGCCAAAAACTGATAAAAGTACCGAACGTCAATGGAATGATAGATGCACCAAAGATTTTGCGATTAGGGATCGACCACCACTCAAAAAGTGGCTGATACGTTTTGTGATTTTGTTAAACAGCCAATGTCCCGAGGTGTCACAGTCTCTCAGACCCTCGTAGTAGTAAATCCTCGCAAATAGCATAAAGTCAATTAAACACATCGCCCAGTATTCAATATATAAGCAGGTATCATCTCCGACAAGTAGCTGCTAATGCTTTAGTAGTTTATTGATATCACTGAAGACACTTAATACATCACCATGGTACACTGCGCGGGTGTCGTTACAGAGGGTGACCTCCAATACCTCTCTGGATTCAACAATGAGTTTGCTTCTGAAGCTCTCCCGGATGCACTTCCAGAGGGCCAGAATACACCTCAAGTATGTCCCTACGGCCTATACGCTGAACAGCTGTCGGGGTCTGCATTTACTGAGCCCAGGCATGAGAACAAGCGAACATGGTTCTACCGTATCAGGCCTTCAGTGAAGCACACACCCTTTACAAAGTACACCCGGCCCGAGGTAGGGCACCCAGGAACTTACCCCGTGCCAGTACTGACTACGCGGTGGGACGATGTGGATCCCAACCCCAACCAGATCAGATGGCTGCCGTTTAAGATGCCAGAGGATAGTGAAGATGTAGACTTTATCACTGGCTTGTCTACAGTGGCCGGTGCGGGTGACTGCAAAGCACGTATGGGGGGGATGGCCATTCACGTGTACACGGCCAACAGATCAATGGTAGACACAGCTTTCAACAACTCTGACGGAGATATGCTGATTGTACCCCAGCAAGGTGCACTGACTGTCCGCACAGAGGTAGGGGTTATGCGCGTACCACCAAATGAGATCTGTGTTGTACCCCGTGGTGTTCGGTTTGCAGTGGAGATTGACGATGAGAAGCTTGTGCGTGGCTATGTTTGCGAGGTATTCGGGGTGCACTACAAAATTCCAGACCTGGGCCCAATTGGTGCGAATGGTCTCGCGAATCCGCGCGACTTCCTTACACCCGTAGCGGCATACGAAGACAGGGAGTGTGAGTTCACAATCATCAACAAATTCCAAGGTGCGATGTTCCAGGCCAAGATGCAACACAGTCCATTCGATGTGGTAGCCTGGCATGGCAACTATGTGCCATTTAAGTACGATCTAGACAAGTTCATGGTTATCAACGCAACGCTGTTCGACCATGCCGACCCGTCTATATTCACCGTATTGACTGCACCGTCAGGTATCCCTGGGGTTGCTGTATGTGACTTTGTGATCTTCCCTCCGAGATGGGCTGTACAGGAACACACTTTCCGCCCTCCCTATTATCATAGGAATTGCATGTCTGAGTTCATGGGTCTAATTAAGGGTGAGTACGAGGCGAAGAAAGGCGCTTTCTTGCCTGGAGGCGGTAGTTTACACAGTATCATGACACCGCATGGTCCGGATGCAAAGACGTATGATATTGCCTCTACGGAAGCTCTTGATCCCGTAAAGGTTGCTGAAGGAACACAGGTGAGTCGTGTGTTTATAGTATAGGTACGCGGCGTGTGTGTGCCCAGCTATGTACTTTATTCTTGCCTCCAAATAGTGTACGGGTTTATTAACTTGAATCACAAGCTGCATAGCAGTGCCCTTCTTCCTGTGTACTTGACTACTTGTAGTCGTGCTTGATTTGATTTTCACTTTCTTCCACTACACTTCTGTCTATTAGGCATTCATGTTCGAATCGAGCTTCAGTTTAGCACTCACCCGGTGGGGAGAAGAAACTTGCGAAACTGTCGACTCGGACTATTTCCAGTGTTGGCAAGGGCTTGAGAGGTGAGTATAGGCAGTTCACCTGCACGCATAGTTAGCTGTTATATGATGGTCAGTTGTGGCGTTATTTTTCAATCTGTCTTTCTAACAAAGGTTCTTATTAAGTGTTTCTTTTCTGCTAGCGAGTTCTGGCTCAACCACTTCTTTGTCTGTTTCCGTCTACAGCAATTTCGACCCAAGTTGGAAGAAGACTTAAAAGTCACAGAGCTGACACTCAAAATCCCGCGCGTTGGTGAGGGCCGGGAGTCTATAAGTTTTCTTAACAAGCTGCCAAGGCTCGCAGGGACTGCATCACTACAAGCGAATACTTCACTCGTCAAATATACACAATGAAGGTTCACTGGACTGTGCTCAATAAAATGAATGTGTTCTTTCTTCGGAAGTTGGCTAGATGGGAGCTTAGCTGTTTATATGTTAATCTGTACTTGCTGGCTAAGCAATCTGTTCGCTCTGGCTAGCTAAAACATCACACTGCTGCAACCAGTATCATGTAAGAATGCCCAACATATCTCGAGTTTGAAACACCATAGCTCGACGTAGAGTCGGGCTCACGATAAAAAGTTTATTCATTGAGTCATCTCCCTTCCGTGACCATATACTCGGCCGGTTGGTGGCCGAGCTAGAGCCTCTGGAGGACTTATCGCGAAATAAATAAATAGTATACATGCACTCTGTTCTAGTGCGTCAGCAGTGTTTTACTATTGTTTCTACTTTTTAAAGGTCATGTTATGATTTCATATTCGGGGTAACATTCTCTGAGCCAAACTTTAAGCCGAATGTCAGTACCAAAAGTGCAATAGGTTCGAGAATAATCTATTCCACTTTTGATACTGAGGCTTTAATTAGTCAAGCTTGCACAAGAAATAGACAAACGGTATATATGTACTCTATTCTAGTCCGACAGCCGTATTTTATTGTTTCTACTCTCTAGGGTCATGCTATGATTCCACACATTCGGTTTAACATTTTCGAGTCAAACTTCAAGTCAAAAGGTAGTATCAAAAGCGCAATAGGTTCGAGAATAACCTGTTCCGCTTTCGATACTAACTTTTTGTCATAGAGGCCATAGTCAGTCCATCTTCCACAAATATTTTTTTTTTTAAATAGTACACATATACTCTGTTCCAGTCCGTCAGCCGTATTTTAGATTAATTCCAATTGTTGAGGGTCATACTATGATTTCACAATCTGGAGATCATTTTCCGAGTTAACCTTTCAGTCAAATTATATTATCATAAGCGCAATGGGTTCGAGGATAACATATTCCGCTTTTGAAACTATGTCTTTCCCGGAGCCTATAGTCAGTCAAGCTTACACACTGCATTACAGTGTCTACCAAATCATACTGGTTCTAATAAAATTTTATTTCGTTTCTTGTAAATTCTCCTCGCGGGAATAATCGTCCGTAGCGAATTTTTGTTAACAGATTGAGGGCGCAACAGTACAACGCTTATGTAAGATGTCTTTAAGACTATATCTAAATGTTATATTTCTGACTATTCTTGAGACCACGGATCTCAACTCGACTGGTTGGTGGGAGCATTTGAATTATTAGCGTGCAAGTCTGACGGCATGTTAACACTGCTAGCACCTGTTTGTGAGTTTTCATCGTCGTCCTCGTCTTCGCCCCTAATTAAAATAAATAGGTATAAAAAAGTTGAATAGTTAGAAGGCTGTGATTATCCATATATTCAACAGAACTACAGGGAAGATCATCGACAAAGGAAGTTAAAACGAAGGCTACGTACTTCTTTGTGAAACGGCCACCTGGTCCTCTTACTCTTCTCAGAGCATGTTTGTGACGCGACTGATGCATAAACCCGGGACGACCCCTTTCTATTTTATACTTCTGTTCAAGTTTAGACCGCGCTTCCCTCCTCTGTAAGGTATGTGATCAACAGTGAACAAAAAGAAATATAGATACTGATTTCAAAGCGCAAGGAAATAATGGGTACGACCTCAAGCTAACATGGGGAACCGAGATACTCAGATATAATCCTCCAACCCACGTGATACGCAAAAATAACATCGCGCATAACACCCGACACCAATTAGTTCAATGTAATGAAGCAACCCATACAAACTCATACAATTGTATAACTGTTCATACCAACATAGACCAAGCTAACGACAACTGAATGGAATCTCGACCCCTGACATATAGAGTCATACCTTCAGAATTCGGTGGTACTGTTTAGCATTCACATACATGGGCTCTTCCTCTCCCTGTCCCATAGATACCCTATACGTTGGTGGATTGTAGTACATGCCTCCAGCAGCCTGTGCACCATACATGCCACTGTTGGGATCGTAGGCTGTTGCCGCCCCCCATTGCGCCGGGTCAGGCTGTGCAGCATACTGTTGAGCAGCGTATGCTTGTCCACCAGGATATCCCTGGCCGGCATATCCCTGCATCTGCTGCTGATCATAATAACTGTACGCCTGACAGTGTGATCATGGTAGCAAACGATCGAGTATATATGAGTCGATATGTCAAAAAGGGCACGTAGCTACAGTAAACCCATTGTCAATATAACTCGAGAAACCCAAAACGAAACGCAGAAGCTGCTCCAATTCAGCGTCTCAATTACTCCTACTGGACAAAATGACATGGCAACTCTGATAATCTAAGAGAGACACAGCGATAATATGTAACCAAACTGAAGGTGAACTTATACAACAGAATGTAGAGCCCGCACCAGCGTGGCATATCGATTGCTACTGACATGAAGAGACGACATTCGAAAGTGCAGAACGGCCACGATCGCACCACCCGAAGTGCGATGAACACTTCAAAGGTGACAACAGTGCATATAACCAGAGAATTCTCTATTTGTCCACTAGTCACATGTAATGTAAACGTGCGTATTCTATAGATCGATCA